GACTCCTGCCTGGGGCACTACTTTTGACCACAACTCAGCATTCTTGTGCTGAATATAGCAGAAATTCGGAGAAAATGCCGCAGAAATCAGCTGATCGTGAGCGTCAGCAATTATCGATTGGCAGGAGTCAGAACGGAAGAGTGGAGGGTGCGGCGGCTGTGTCAGAGTGCAGAGTCAGTATCAGAGACGTAGGAGCAATGGTGATAATTGCCGAAATCTTTGCGCCTTTCCACCGATACGCAATCATCGGACCGCTCGCCAGCGTGGTCGTAGGACCGCCCCACCGTTGTAATCGCTGAGATGACATTTTCGTAGCAATACCAGTTGGCGCCAGTTTGGAGCAATTACAGTGCACACTCAATTCGCTTTGGACTTGTTGTCACCCTATGTCGAGACGAGAGAAAGCATAAATGAAATGTGCACGAAGTTCCCGTCCTTGAACAGTGCGTTATATGCAAGTGTTTCAGCACAATTCTCGTAGTGGTGCTGGCGTAAAGTACGGTGTTATACGTAGGTCCGCTGCGGAATTACAATCAATTGGGCGCCGCTTTGGGTTACGGTACCGTGGCGGTAATACTGAAGTTAGCTTCTTGTCGGTGCATGTTGCTCTTAATTGAAGCGCTATAGCTGTTTTTGGTTGGGAAGGCTCCACGCAGAGCCTGCTGTGGGACATAAGTTCTTTCTTCTCTAGGCTAGGCGTATCGATGGGAAGAATTTCCATCGATAAGGCAGCGCCCAGACTTCGCGACGACAGCGTTTCGGTCACGTGTTCGGCGCGATCGATGCCGTCTAAATCATGCGCATCGATCGCGTTGAATCACGCGACCGCGCGACCGAAGCGGTGACATCGCGATGAACGCTGCCTAACCTTTCAACAAGTTCAAAGTGCTGATGTGATAGAGTTTGCCTGTAGATTACAACTCATGGTAAGCGACTCCTTATGCATCTGCAACTGCGGACTTCTTTGAAATAGCCGCGGAATGTTTGCGTCATGTATTCTACATGCCCCGTTTTCGCTGCCCCGTTTTTGACTAAGGCGCACCTCCAGTACTTGCTAACTTCAGCCTGTGAACTGCGAACATCTCGTAATACACGTAACCCTCGGTAAGCCAAACATTTCAGCATGCGCAGCGCCGAGCAGCACAAATTGTAGAGACCAGGAATAGTGAAAGCAGTGACTAGCAATTATTATAGCTTCACCCGGCAAAACCCGCGATCACCCGCGACCACAAATATTATTAGATGTTGTGATTGGAGGTTCGCATATAAACGACAAGGTACTGAGTAACTCGACAGTGAAGAATAAAAGCAGAAATAAACTATGCCGCCTGCCCGGAACAGAAGCCTATTTCGATCCTTCGCTTGAATGTGCTCAATGAAATCAGATTCTCTAACACTATGCCCTTATCGCATAAGTTGATTCCTCATAAAGACTCTCCGACCGGGTAGTGAAGATTTCATCGCTTTTCGTCCAGCAGCTTCGTTCCCCACTGAAAGGCGTGCTTCGAAGCGGGAGTCTGGAGGCGAGTCACTGGAAAAAAGGAGGCGTCACTGAACCTATATCAGTACGCTAAGGCGACCCTTCCTTGCAATTTTTTTTTGCTGCGAAACCGGTACAGAACCGAAACCTTTACCCCTCCACTCTTTGACAACTACTCTTTTATTACCACGTTCTCAGAAGACTGGCGAAGTCCGGTTTCTTCAAGTCCCACGCTTCTGCCTAGAGAGCGCGAGTTCCGGAGCGCACGTTGCGTACCACTCACTGCTCTTAGACACACTCGGCACTATCTCGTAGACGAATAATTTTATTTGATTTTTTAGACCCCCTCATTTGCACCGTTGCGTCTTGACGATCAGCTTTCGGACCAGTAACCAGCAATATTAAAAGGATGATGTTCTTTCGCCATCTTGATCAATCCTTTTAGGGATTGACGGCACGCATTCTTACTTCCAATTCACAATCGTAGTGGCTTATTGAATGCGATGTGGCCCTATACAGTGACTTGCGGGGGCCAGCCGATGTACAAGTCAGTGTTTTATCCTCCCAGACGAATCATGGCTACCAATTTTACCGTCCACGTGGAGGGTATAGGTTTGCTGTCGTGGGCGGGGAGTCGATCGGGAACTCAGAATCGCGCGGGTGGTGAGCTCCCCACATATCACTACATGGCCTTCGCCTCCCCAGCAATATGAGCAGAAACGAAATTTATGATTTGCTTATTGTTATCAATAAATTTCTCTCATGACTGAAAGAGATAGCCAAATGTGAGCAAGTCATTACAGGTCCGCAATATCGTTGGCTGCACGATCTCTGTCTTCTTCATCCCCTACATTTCATTCTCTTGGCATCCGACTCATCCCCCATCTTCAAAGATATTCGTTCTTGCAATTTCGGTTACAGCTAGTTTTTACCTCGTTGCTCATTTTCGCGCTTTGGCGCGGCAGTGATCGGCTCACATTCCTCTATCCTTGCTCTCTGCACCACATCCTGGAATGCTCATATGGGGAGGGAGGGGGGCCATTCTACGCGTCCGCTATTTCCCAACGGTGTTCAAGGAATCAAGTGGAGCTTTGTGTAACCTTGTGAAGTCACGATGTGATACCAGCAAAAGCATGGAGGCCCGACATGTCAACTCTTGCAGGATGACCGCAGACTATTGTAGGCAATGAACACGTCGATGTGAGGTAGCGAGACCGTAAAACGCCACCCCCTCTCTCCTCGTTTAGCCGAACTGCGCCTCATATTGTAATCTAACAATGTACGTACAAACTGGTATTTAAATGTAGCGCAAAAATACCTAATCGTTCGAAGTCTTGCTACACAATCAACGAGATTACGAATTTCTACTGTTTTGGGGAATTGCCCCCCCTTTGTCAGTGCGCTGTTTTTTTTTCGTTTTTTTGGTTTCTGCTACCAGAACTTTCAGAGAAAGGGCTTTTCGTTTTCTATGATAAACATTCGGAGACCGAAAGTTCGATCTTCGGACTTGTTTCTACTCTCGATGATCACCAGACGGCAGACGTTTTTTCAATAGTTTATTTTTTGTACTCTACACGACATTTGTTGAAATTTGAACACCGAACAATATTAACAGATTTACAAGTGGCGGCGAACGCGGAGCGTATTGGTGTACGCAAGTCCGTCATTACTTCCAGCGCTTATTGCTGGCGGTGGATTCTGTGCTGCATTGGCCTCGTAGTTGGCATTTGATGGGAATTGCTGAAATAAGCTTTTTACGTTTCTGTCCTTGAATAATATCCTAATGCTTAGAAACATACCGTGTCAGACGGGCCGGGAGGAGGTCCTGATACCGGTGGGGGTGCCACTGCTCCAGTTGCGGGCTGTGTTGATGGTGGTGGTGGTGCCGCTGCTGCTGGAGCAGCTTCAGGTGGAGTTGGCTCTGGAGGGGCAACCGGAGCAGGTTGAGGCTGTGGTGGAGGTGGTGGTACAGCATTTGATTGGGAGTAGGTTCCAGATGGTGGCTGTATTGGTGATGTTGATGCAGGTTGTGATGGAACTGGTGGTGCCGCTGCTGCTGGAGGAGCTTGAGGTGGAGTTGGCTCAGGAGGTGCAACTGGAGCAGGTTGAGGCTGTGGTGGAGGTGGTGGTGCTGATTGGGAATAGGTTCCAGATGGAGGCTGCACCGGCGATGTTGAAGCGGGCTGTACTGAAGCTGCTGGGGGTGGAGCCTGCACTGGGGTTGGTTGCGGTGGTACCGAAGGAAGTTGTGATGAAACTGGTGGTGGTGCCGAAGGAAGTTGTGATGAAACTGGTGGTGGTGCCGAAGGAAGTTGTGATGAAACTGGTGGTGGTGCCGAAGGAAGTTGTGATGAAACTGGTGGTGGTGCCGAAGGAAGTTGTGATGAAACTGGTGGTGGTGCCGAAGGAAGTTGTGATGAAACTGGTGGTGGTGCCGAAGGAAGTTGTGATGAAACTGGTGGTGGTTGCCGAAGGAAGTTGTGATGAAACTGGTGGTGGTGCCGAAGGAAGTTGTGATGAAACTGGTGGTGGTGCCGAAGGAAGTTGTGATGAAACTGGTGGTGGTGCCGACTTGTGGGGGTTGTGGCTGGAGCTGGTGGTGGCACTTGTGGGGGTTGTGGCGGAGCTGGTGGTGGCACTTGTGGGGGTTGTGGCGGAGCTGGTGGTGGTACCGAAGGAAGTTGTGATGAAACTGGTGGTGGTCCGGAGGGAACTGGAGGTGGAATCGCTGGTGTCGGTGCAAGTCCTACCGGTGCAGGCTCAACTGGAGCTGTTAGCGGAGGCCCACCATCACTGTTATACCCTTGCTGATCACCCCCATCAGATGATACCGGGTTCACCGGGGCAGGCTGCACCCTTTCGGCATCTTCATATCCTGAGCTCTGAGAGATACTCTGTGCTATTACACCAGACACTGCTGCCAGTAGGAGAATGCAACGCATCTGTAAAACGCTTTCTTAGAATTTGGGCAAATATGTAAAAACAAGTATGTGGGTGTGGAGAAAATGACGTCGTTCTCTAAAAATCGGACAAAATTTATAACATTACAGCACTAGCTCTGTTTTACAGTGGACCAAAAGTCACAGGAGTTGAACGAGATACAGTTAAAGCGTGCCAGGGGTATTTATACCCCGCTTAACATCAATAATTCTTTTCGATTTTCTGAGTTTTACGTGATCATTCGCGCACAGCGCGAACAAAAAGTCACCTTTCCTGTACCGAGACAGGTTGAAGGTCAGCTCATAGCCTGGCAAACATATGTGAAGCTTTTGCGAGAAGTTTCACTTCCATATTCCGACAACTGAGATATTTTCTCTGTTTCACCTGTTTTATAACTGATGGTCAGCTATGAATTTCCTTTCCATGTATAAATTATCGATTTTCCCACTCGGCCACGGATCATACTAATTTTATTTGCAAGGTTTTCAGTGAAGCAGCTCTCCCAAACAAATGGTTATCTTGGAGATCGGAACGGTGCTCTGGGTCAGGGTGCAGAAAACCTAGATTCTTTTACATCTTTGTGCAAAACCCACCGAAGGGGTCATACTTGCCCGCTAAGGAGGGGCGTTATGAACGCAGGGTCGGTGAGCACCGAACAGCGCAACGCAAAATTCAACGTCAAAGTGTTACGCTAAGTTTGTTGAGCGGCGCGAAGAGCTGTTAGGAGCCCGATGGCATGGCACATGTGCCGGGCCAAATTTTCTATGCCACTCACGTTTCAAATGGGGAATTTGTGTGTTTTGAAGTTACCATAAATCTTTCGAATGTGTACTTGCTTACAATTTTGCCCATTTCAAAACAAAACTGTAATTTCTTCTACACAGGGGGGTCCTCAGAGTACTTGTAGCACTTTTTTTGGGAAAGAGGAGCTATTACGCTCTGTGAAGATGCGCTGGATAAGATTGCATGTGAAAGAAGTTATTGTTGTCCGAAGAATAAAAGCTCGAGTGGCCATGAAAGACCCACACAAAATATTTCTCAGACAGGTAAGGATTCGCATTAGAGGTAGCTAGAAAACGTAGAGGTAGAACCATTGCTTGAATTCCCAATTCCGTTCACCCAAAGCCGCTTAACTAAAAAAGCTACTACTCCCAGAAGAAGCACTGCGGTTTCTACCCTATCAACAAGTCTGCTCCAGTGCCACTTCGCGCTGGCATTGCAATGCCGACGCGAGCTTAGGGGTTATGGGAGGGTGAGACGCACTGACGCCATTTCACGCATACCGATGCTGTACTCTGACCTGGGTTTCACTTCGAACAGGGAACAACTGCGCGGTGGGAAGTTTTCGTTTTGGGACAACAGTAATCATGTCTTGTTCAGCACAAGATGAGTTGCTTCTAGTAGAAAGATTCCACGACAACACAATCAGACTTGTTCAACTTGAGTACGCAGCCACGCCCTCCTCATGCTTGAGTTATGAGATATAATTTCATTCAGAATCGTACTTACTGAACAAGATCCTATACAACGGATTGTCGGCGCTAGAAGAGCTAGCTGGTTGACCCGGGCGGAAGCCAGTTTGTGACCTTATACCGGTACCCGCGAAGTCCACTTGTCCCTTCTCCACCTCCGCCTCATATAAGAGCAAAATAACCTGAGAAAACTTACGTAACCTTGGTGACACTTGAACTTATCGGTTGACTTCCTAAAAGTACTTCACCTTATTACGGTCAATACTAAATACGGTAGGGAGAAAGCTTAAAGTGGAAACAAGCGTTAGCCAACTTCCAAATCCTACCGGACTCGAATAGAACAAATAACACTCGAATGCCATGGCTGTCCCTAGCGGCTTATTGTATGGGCTATGTGTCATTCCAGAGAGACTATTATTCTGAATGAAACTGGATTTCGCGGCTCTGTAGAATTTATAAGCTTCGAAGAGTTACTTTTTGAGCCTCTCCAGCATGCTCTTGCCCTTCTGCTGATCTATGGAAGACAAGAGGCTTTTCGCCTTTTCTGAATTTGTATGCTTTGAAGAGATTCCCACTTCCCAACCGAAAGACACCGTTATAGCGCTAAATCATTGTGCAGCATGCCGAACGCCAGTTCACAACCGCCCGCCCACAAATAGCCGACCAGTCCCCAATGTACCTACTCCTGCCGTTTCATTTATGATGTAGGATTGATATGAAGCGTTGCTATATGGGTACATGAATGTACACGTGCAGCCCTATCCATCAAAGCGGCGGTTGGCACGATGCCAACGGGAAACTCGGCCGAAAATGCTCATCCAGGGCCATGCACAACAAAGGTTTTTGTAGGGTTCTGGCTTCAACTTCGCTTTTTGTTATTTTCCCCACTTTACAGCAACTCTCCCCCCACTACCGTTTTCAAGAAGGTACGAAATTATCGGGCAGAGTAAGGTCACGAATTATTCGGGCTCAGGGGCGGCCTTGGTCGCCACCACACCACCTTTGCGCTTTTTTATGTTTGTTCTACTCTTCCAACAATGCTCGTCCAACGTTGTACAGAACAAAGGATTTTTACAGGTTTTCAGGTTTTGACTCTTTTTTGTCATTTTTCCAGTACGTAGCATTGCTGGTTCTAAAGCTAGAACCAAATATCGTCTTATGCCTTTAATCTGTGCCTTGCCGTAACCACTGCCTAATAGTTGTGGCAAATCTTAGAGAATTCTAGAATTTATGTCTTTCCTTTGATGGAGTTCGTGTCAGAGCTGAGCTAATGAAGCGTATGAGATGGTATCACCACCTTGTCGGGGACAGATAGCCATCAAACCTAACTAATTTCTTTGTTCGCATTCCTACGTATGGGTACTCTGACGTAGTTTCTCATCATGGTACCAAGGTCAGAAACTCAATTAGGACTCTTGGCCCTAGCCGATGATCAACAACCAAACGCGTTACCGCCGAATGAACATCGAACGCCAAATGATTGTTTCATATGATAAGGAAACATTCAACTTACGCAATACATTAGTTCTCAATGAATTCTATGGCCATTAATTGCAACGGTTGTCACTTCGCAAAGAAATCCAGTCGCGCGTAAAGAACCGCCGACTCGAACTCTCAAAGATCGTCTGTGCCAAAGGTGTGTATGAGCCAGTGTGTCGTGTTCCACCGGAGAGAGCGAACCACATGGGGAAGACTGCGTCGACTAGCTCATCCGTCAGATCCTAATTAAGTTGTCACCTACGCGGTCCCGAGACGACATTAATCATTAAACAGCTATCAAAATGACGTTTTTCGTGTCGCAGGTGTGATTTCCAGTTTTACCGAAACTCAATAGGTGTTAAAATGCTACACCTCGAGTCCCGTAGATGCATAACGAAACTACAAGTTTCTATGGCTACACGTTGAACCATCTAACGTTAAAGACAGCGTCCGCGATCGACTTTGGTAGGTTTTAGGGCTCAGAATTGTTAGAACATGCGGCAATGGAATAAAAAAGTAAACAAAAAGCGCCGCAAGAACATAGAATAAGACCCTGTTCGATCGAACGCATCTGGACGAGTTTCGCAGATTTTGGGTGAGTTCTCCAAAACACGTCGCCGCCCTCGTTGCGGCTAATTCTCATGAGGCCACTACCTAGGTTATCTTATCTAATCTAATTAATCCTCGCTGGCATTGATAATCGATCTGTCTATGAGTTAATCTCTCTATCAGTGTACGAAACGAACGCTAGAAATTTAGCGATTATCAATGCCAGCGAGGATTGATAACGGCAAACCAATCGAGGCGGGATTAACAGGACAGGCGGAGTCAGCTTATCATTGTTGACTCCGCCTTCGTCTATCAATCAATTTGGAGTCCCAGGAGATACCCTCCGTGGTTGTGGACTCCGCGATCTTGTGCAGTACAGGGATTCCTTGCCTGATCGCGGACGCTGTCTTTCAAGGCAAAGCCGGCGATCTTTCGCCATCATAGATAGTGTGAATTAGGGGTCTGTATACAGACGACAAGTTCTGAGTAACTCGATATTTAAGAAAAAAAGCAGAAGAAAAAGCATGCCATTTGCCCTAAATAGAACCCCATTCTGGTCCCAGTTTGTACGCGCTCAACTAACTCCATTTTCAACACTACGCCTCCATCCGCACAGCTAATTCCCCGATATGAACTCTACGACCGTACATGTGACGCTTTTCATGCTTTTTCATCCAGCAGCTTCTTTTTTCATTAGCGGCGAGCCTTGAAAGTGTTCGGAGGTGGAGTCACTGGGAATTGAGGAGGAGTCACTGAACCTATTTTGCGCTATAGCGCCCCTCCCTTACACTTTTTTGCCGCGAAACCGGTACAGGGTTGTTCGTCGCGGAGTACACTACCCTACCAACGCCAGATCTTCAATTGCTATACCTGATCCCGGACCGTGCCTTGGACAGAAACGCCTCATAGCCGTTGCATGGCCCTTTGATTGATGTAGGCTTGACAATATCAAGAAAAATATGTATTCTGTCCTCTAGACAAAGCAAATAATAATTATGGCATCATCTGCAAGAAGTTCTACCTTTTGAACATAATGCATGAAATGGGCATTTCTTATGATGCTGCCAACCATACATATGTCTATGGTAACAGTAATAACACATATGAATTAAATGCCTCAATTAAAAAAGTAATCCTTTCATTCTATAAACCAGTAACTTTGTGTGTCGGTTTGTATGTTTGTATGTATGTAGGTTTGTAGGTATGTATGTATGTATGTATGTTTGTCTGTCCGTCCGCAAAATACTTCACGGGTTCGAGTTCGCTGGAGGCGAAACGACCGCTAGGCAAACCGATGTACCAACATGGAGGATGTAGGCAGTCCACAAAGATTCATTTGTGAATAACAGCGCTCCGCTATATAAGACAACCATTCGGTACACTCCGAGCCATTGCACGAGCTGCTGGCGTGGCAGCTGGACGTGTGCTCGTGCGGGGGCAGGGTGGGGGTACCGGGTACCCCCTGCCTCCCTCTCCTGCACGTGCTCAGCCGGAGCTGAGCA